GTTTTCCATTTATGTAAAAATGAGAATGATAAATATAGTCGTTATGGACTCCATACAAGGGATAGAAATTTAAATATGATAGTCTGATGTGATAGATAACGATCATATTTTTCATTTTAATGGAAAAAAGAATGTGAAACAAAAGCGGCTACATATAAAAATAATTTTTTTTCCCATTTTTGCCCAAGTCCTGCGTTCTGCCAAAGAGAAGCCACAAAAGAAAAGACAAGTAGGAAGCTTAGAACTGTTTTGGAGCCCAAGAATTCCCTTGCTGCAGATGCAAGTGAGGGCTAAATTCTGACTGTGACAGAAATGTCGCTATCTCTGCCACTTGAGGATGAAAGAATCATTTTGTCGTACAAACTATCGATAATGATTTAAACAACGCATAAAATTAATTTTTCTTTAATGCCAGTTAACGCTTGAGGAATTAGTGGCCAACAGCCGGTTGACCCGACCAGTTTTCCAAAGAGGCCTTTGACCAATTAAAAAAAAAAAAAAAAAAAGCAAAATGTTTAAAATATTGAAAATCAAGAGAAATCCAAATTTACCCTTACTATTTAAAGAAGAAAGAGAAGATAGTAAGGAAAGAGAAAAATTACTGTAGCACTGATAAAAAAGGAAAAATAGACGACCCATATTTACAGTTTTTATGTTGATTTTTGGAAAAAAAAAAAAACATGATTTTATATACATGTGTTGATTTTTGGAAAAATGCATGATTTTTGGGTAAGAATAATAGTTTGGGAGGAGGAAAATGGAGTAGAGATCGCCGAAAATGGAGTTTTCCGGCGATCTCCACAAAGGAGACGTAAGCCCAGCTGACTGGACCGATTAGGCATGCCCAGATGACCCAGACTCACCCAGACGGCCCAGTTGACTGGGTCGTCTGGGCCGTCTGGGCGCCAGTTGACTGGGCCGTCTGGGTCAACTGGGCCGTCTGGGCGCCCAGTTGACTGGGCCGTCTGGGCGCCCAGTTGACTGGGTCGACTGGGCCGTCTGGGCCAGTCAGCCCAGTTGACTGGGCCGCCTGGACGCCCAGTTGACTGGGCTGCCTGGCGCCCAGACGGCCTAGTCATCTGGGTCGACTGCCAGAGGCCCAATTTTTTTTTTTAAATTTCTTATTTATTTATTTCCTTTAATTTTTTAAGTTAACTATTTATTTTAATTCTTATATTGTGTTGTCTAATATTTAATTATTATTTGAATTGTTTAATTTTAATGTATATTATGTATTTAAAATTATTTCTTTGAAATGCTTAATATAAATGTTTTATTATTTATCTAAATATTTATTATTTGCCAATTTAGTTTTAATTACTTATTTTACCCATTTGCCTGATAACGTCGACAGCCTGTCCATTATTCGCCACATCCACGCCCACCTTCTTAAACTAGGCTTCAATACCCACGTTTACGTGGCTACTTCGCTCTTGCACGCCTATGCTTTAGCAGTTTTTGGTGACGCATGTAACTTGTTCGAAGAAATGCCTGAGAGAAATTCTGTCACCTGGAACACCATGATCACAGGATATTCACGACATGGCGATGTTAAAAGTGCGTGCAAAATCTTCAATCAAATGCCTAAGAGAGATCTTGCTTCCTGGACTGCGATGGTCACGGCTTATATGAACAGTGGTCTTTGGGATGAAGGCCTTGCACTTTTTCGACAGATGGTAATGGATAAAATCGTTGATAATGAGCATCTAAAGCCTGATCAACTGATGTTGGGTTCAATTTTGGCAGGGTGTGCAAACATGGGTTCAGTTGGTTTAGTGTTTGGAAAATCTTTACATGGATTTGCCGTTAAAAATGATTGGCAATTGAACGTGACCTTTGGTACTTGTTTAGTTGACATGTATGCCAAATGTGGGTTCTTGAAGAATGCTTGCCTGGTTTTCGACATGATGAAGGATAAGAATGTGGTGGCATGGACAGCCTTAATATGTGGCTCTGCTCAGCATGGCTATGGCCAAGAAGCACTGTTAATATTCGAGAGGATGAAAAAAGTAGGCGTTGAACCTAATGAGTTGACATTCACGGGATTACTTACTGCCTGCGTCCAAGTTGGGTTGGTGGACGAGGGACGCAGATACTTTAGGATGATTGAGGAGTGTGGACTGAGGCCAAGAATTCAACATTATGGTTGCATGGTTGATTTGTTTGGGAAGGCAGGATTGTTAGGGGAAGCATACGAAGTTATTAAAACGATGACACTTGAACCCAATGTGGTTATATGGAGTTCGTTTTTGTCATCTTGTAAGTTGCATAGGCAGTTCAAGATGGCCGAGAAGGTGATTGATCAGGTGATGAGAATGGTGAGACCAGAAAATGATGGTGGGGTTTACTCGCTCATAGCTGATTTGTATGTCTTGAGTGATAAGTGGATCGAGGCAGAAAGACTGAGAAACCTTATGCTCAATCAAAATGTGAGGAAGGCGCGGGGATCTAGTTTCATTAGAAATGGAGTTGTGTGAAAACAAGGAGAATCCTTCTTTTCCCTGTATTCCTTCATCAAGCTCTCCCTCGGAAACCATCAGCAAGGGTTAAACTCCTGACTGGTTTTGCCGGATCCCTCAAACAAATACAAATACCTTCCTATTGAAGGAGGCTATTAGACTTTCTTTGTCCTATCAATTCTTTTGACAGGAGAGAATTGAATATTCGTTGAAAATAAGCTGTCCTCAAAACCTCGTAGCCTCCTAATTGATGGTCCATTTTTGTCAGAAAGGGATCCCAAGTCCTGAGGAAATCTACCTATCAAAAAAAAAAAAAAAGTCCCGAGGAAATCTACAAGATTAAAGGGTACTGGTTACAATGTATTTAGAATCTACCAAATACAATGATGGGGATAATTTGTAACTTGTTACTGTTACTTTCATTTACGAAATTATTGTATTAATCAGAAAAATTACACTTGGGACTCCCGAGTCCCAGTCTCAGCTCCCTCACCCCCAACCAGCCTTCTTTATATGTGTACGCATTCGTGTAGGGGATCTATAAGAGCTCAAAGTTCAAATTGGTTGAAATAAATTGCTTGTAACAATGATAGATTAGATCGAAGACCTACTCAGCCTACTACATTCTCTTCGCCTGATACGAGGTAGTCAAAGTTCCTGCTGTGGCATATGGAACCATATACTTGTTGGCTGTTGCTAACCTTTGGGCCCTCTTCATATTCTATTCCTATGCTATTTCTCACTTCTCAATTGTCCCACAAAAGTTCATGCCCATAGCCATCTTGATCTTATCTTATTCAACATGAACAGACACAGAAGAAGTCAATCGAAACAAGTACTATGAGATAGACTGAACGTAGGTACATGGTGCTTAAATATGTGGTTAAGTACCTTTCCAATCTCGACAATGACGACTTACTTTCAATTGAGAGTTTCACTTAACAGACCACTAGGCTTATACCATGCCCAACTTTTTATTGATGTTTTATCGAGATTCAATCCAAATCACAATGATATTTTCTTGTTCTTGAATGGATCCTGTCAAGCTCTATCAACAGAATTAAAACACACAATCCCCTAAAATTTGCATCATGCAGCAGATGACGAAAAGAAAATGATCATTGGAGCTCTTCGAGGGATTTAATTTTTACTTGGTGCCTGTTAGGTAAAACTTTTTTGTTACTCACAACTTTTGTCAACTTATTCACTAGACAATAGACATTTCATAGTATCCACCAGCTTTTTTCAACTTTAACATTATCACACAGCCCCTTAATCAAGTTGAAAATATATGCTTAATTATCAGGATATAACCAACATTATAAGAATTTTTTCCTCAATACCATCGGGTAATTGACAATATAACTGAAACGGTATCAAATTTAAATTTATCGAAATTGATCGCCCCATGATCTACCAGTGAAATTGCAAACATACTATTATTGTGCAACGTTCAGTGCACCAAAACAGCAGTTATACAAACAAGACAAATAGAATGATTATGGCTTCATTCACACTTAATTCCAAGTGGACATTTCTGGAATGGGATGGAGTGGTAAGAAAAGATTCTATGATTCTTCTTTATTCAAATTGAGGACATTTCTGTAAGTTACTTGTGCCCGATTTGCTGCATCAGCTTCATCATCGAGTACCTGAACAGGTGACATTCCGGCAATCTTAACACACTACTATTCTTGTATAAAAATCTATTAACAACAGACTTTAAGAGCAGTGCAGTCAATATCAGTTCAAGGCAGAGAGGAGGGTAAGTAGGCAGAGTGAAATACTCAGAAAAGCAATAAAAGAAGCAGAACATCAGGATGGACTAAAAGGAAATAAGGAAAAAAATATTCTACCTGATTCAACTGAGCAAGAGCGGGAACTTGCAACACAAAAAATGTATAGATCAGACTTTCTGTAGCGAGAAATTAAAGGTATCAGAGGCAACCTCAATCACTTTATATAAATTTCAGAAAAATGAAATTAGAGAGGCCTTGTGCCCCACATAAAAGAAACAAGTTATATGAAAATTTATGTCTACGACACAATCTAAAGAATTAGCTGGCAATTCAACCACGAGTAAATCATCAAGAAAACAAAATCTATATTCCCACAGGAGGAGAACCTCCGGTTCTTCCTTTCCTATAACAGAACTCACAAAAAAAGGTAAGTCAGAATCGGGGGGATAACATCAATAAAAAAATACAGTCCCACACTTCATGAATCACGGAAGTGACAACTATTTAGCACAAGTTAGAGGAGAAACTGCACAAGCAGAAAACATAAATTAGTATAACAAATATCAAACACAAGATGTTCATTAGCATAAAACCAGTCAACTTCACATTACCCTCAAGAGATGATCGCCAAGATGCCGGATCTGTAGTAGACACCATACTATCATCAGTTTAAAGTTCCAAAACATTTAAAAAGTACAGGACCAAAATAATATCTAAAATGACAGCACGGAAGGATGGAACAAAAGTTTCCTAAGGATCATAATATTAATTCTCTTTGTGACACAACAGTTTCCAATATGAACCTTTTAAAGGGCTAGCCAATCATGCAGTTTATCTCTTTCTACCACCGCGTTCCCTGAGAGAAAGCAACAGGGAGTCTCCAGGGGCAACATTGTAATACGCAAGTGATAAGTTGTCCTTCAGAAAACCAGCCTTTCCACTCAGCTTCTGTTTATTTGCAGGAAGCTGGATCTCACCAGCAATTTTCTCTTTTAGGCTAGCAACAATTTCAGATAGGGATTGCACAGAAATCTCCAGCACTTGTCCCTTGAGATTCCCTTCATCAACATTCGGCACAGATATATTGACGCAAGCAGGACCCTACAGTCAGCTCAAGTAATCAATAAATCACAAACCACTAACAAAATAAATATAATATATGCATAGATATTAATTGACAGTATCATGAAAGAACGAGAGTAAATTTATGAAAAAAGAGTTGCAGAAGAGAAAGCAAAGATGGTCCATACAGAATGCTGGGCCAGGAACTTCTCTTCAGGGATAAGCATAGAGTCGTCAAGCTTTTGCCTCTTGGGCTCTGGCTCTTCTGGAAGTGGTGGAGGCGCCTCCTCGGGGGGAGGTGGCGGAGGCATTCCTTGCGGCATAGGTGGTGGTGGAACCATGTGCATGCCAGGTTGGGACATAGGATGGGGAACAAAAGGTGTGGGACCACCCAGAGGCGTAAACTGCGATCCAGGTGGTGGTGGAACAGGGACGCCAGGCGAATTTAGGGGCATTGACGGAGGCATTGGGGGTCGATTTACCATAAGAGGTTGGCCGTGCATCATTGACATTGGAGGAGGTGGAGGCCGAACAGAAGGAATCATGTTGACAACTGGCAGCCTTGGTGGTGGCGGTGCAATTACCCCAGAATTTGAAGTGGTTGAATACTGGACAGTAGTTGGAGGTCTAGGGATATTCAAAACAAGCCCAGGAGGCGGAGGAAGAGGCCTAACTGATGGCATACCAGGTCTGGGAGGAGGAGGTGCTGGACCAGGAAGGTTTATAGCATTATTATATGTAGGATCATTTTGGTCCTCCCCAGCAATATTCTGGGACAAGGCCTGGCTAGCTGTGCGACCAATGCTTCCTGAATGACCATCCCATATGACCTGCTTCGGTTGTTCATCTTTCTTCTTCTCAATCTCTGCCTTTACAGCATTAGAAACTTCTTCTTCAGTAGTACCAAAAATATCAGGGCGTGTTCGTGCAAGTCCCACGATGTTTCTGGAAATTTCATCATCAGCTGCAAGAGTCGTCTCTCTAATTTTGGCAAACATTCTTTCTTTTTGCTCCTTGTACTTAGGATCGATAAGAGAGATCCTCATATGTTCAGACATCTCATTGATGGGAATCAGCTCACCAGTTATTGGAGAGACACCATATTTAGTTGGGTCTCTTTCGGCAGGGATTCTCTCCTCAGGCCTCTTCCAATTCTTCACAATCCTCATAGGTGGTTCCTGTTCTTCGAGAGTTGGCTTGGCTTCGTTGTTATTCATATCACCATTCTCTTCGAGACTAGCAGCCCTCATACCCTCCTCAACAAGCTGGACCTCTTCTTCGTCCATCTCCATTTCTACTTCCTTTCCAGGCTCAACAATCTCTTCTTCTTCCGTAGTCGACATCTTGCTCCTCCTTATAACTTCCTCGAGTGTCATTGGAGGCGGTAAATCCTCATCCTCATCATCTGCAAAGTCTATAGTCTCAACAACAACAAAATCATGCCAATCAATCATGGCCATCTGCAGCCGCTCCTGCTCAATCTCGTCTTCAGCTTTCTGCCTTGCTTGCTCTTGCGACTGTTCCCATTCGAGCCGATGCAAGCAGCGCTCCAGGACGGTCGTCATATCAGCAACACTATTTCTCAGCTTGTCAGTAAGTCCTTTGGGAGGCATCAATACTTTGGAATATGCATCAGCAAGTGATGTAAAGAACATGAACATGCTGTGGGTTGGCTTCAGAAAATGGAACTGAGGATTATTGATCTCCCTACTTGTCAAACCTGTCAAAAAAGACTTCCCATTCCGAGCCACAAACTGAGCAGTGAGCTTAATTATATCCAGTTCCTCCCCAGTAATCCCTTCAGGAAGTCGAACAGTGTACTGCTCTGCTTCTGGTGGCTCAAGAACCTTTCGGACGGGTCTAAATAGAGCCGACGGATCAAGCTTTGCAGAGGCATCACTGACATCAACAGCCAGAGCAGTATCAGCAGACTCAGGAGCTGATGAATCAGCAAGCTCCAATGGTTGCTGCTGAGTAGAAATTTGATTTTGGGCCCGAGCCTCAGATAACCGGTGCTGATAGTAAGCATGGTAGGGATCAGAGGCACGTAAGAAGTTAAATTTAGCATTGCCTTCATTGTTAGCAATGATTCTTTTCTCAAACTCGGGCCCATTCTTCACCACAAATTGTGTGGTTTTATCTACAATATTTCTGATATCGGGGGGTGGATATATGATTCCAATAGTCTTTGTGTGGGTTTTAACCGTTGTTGGAAGAGAGTTGGATAAATCATTATCATTGGTCTTGTCCCCATTCATCTCTTCATCTTTAGATTCCTCTATCACCTGAGCCGGGGGTGTTGGGCCAAGATTCCCATCAGAGGGTGGTGCTGGGAGAGGCAATATTGGCAATGAGCCCAGCATTTTCTAATCTGCAAATCACTACTAATATCAGCCTAACATTATGCACATACGAACACCTGAATTTAAAAAAGAATAAATAAGCATACAAGTAAACTGGGGATCATAAGTTAGGACCCAAAGTTTGGAGAATGAATAAATAAATTTATGGAAGAGAGAAGGTTTTGTGTTCGAATAGCTGGGGACACAAAAGAAATCCACGTTGAGACCCAACCTGACAGTACATATGCAAGCAATACAGACCGAATTCCCATGGACCATGTCGCTGCCCGAGGCCAAATATGGTGAGCCATGGTCGGGGGAGGGATCGTTTCAGTAACAGCTAAATAGGCTAATTCTAATAATTCACAATGCGTCCAGCTAAATACTTCGAGTATGGAACTTGTAATAGCATGTAATGACCAATGACAAATGAAGGCGGAAGTAATGAGATTCCTACATGCTTAAACCAGGTATGCTAAATTCCCGTACGTCATAAGAATGGCCAAAGTAAAAAATTCTTAAATGCTTTTTTACAAACAAAATGTAACGATGACAAAAGGACAGAAGAAATGAAAGGTTGAGAAAACAATTGAAAAATTATAACATATAGAACAGAGACAGAATTTGAATGAGACCTGAGTTATCAGTACTCCTATGTTTTTGTGTGCAGAGGCACTCACCCATATTCTTAACTGTATTTACCAGAAAAAAAAATGCAGCAAATGCACACATGAACAAGCCTTCATCAAAATGGGATAAAACAAGTTCAATGCTTGTCAAAGAAACCTCATGGGGAATACCTCATAAGTGACGCCCACCAAAAGAAAAATAGTATAATAATTCTACCAATAAGATTTAACAAGCACTGGTCACCTTAGAATACAAATTATTTAATAGCAATTTACATGAATAAGGACACTTAAAATCGATTTGGTATATTTTCCATGTTCAAGCATATTCAAGATTCCCATTATGCTTTAATCAGAGATTCTAAATGTTAGTCAAGACAGCAGCACAAGATTCTAATAAACCAAACTAATTAGCTAAGACTATTAATAGGTAAATTTGATACCCTCTCAATCCATAATAGATTAGATACCCAACAACAGCTCCAAACGTACCAAACAGGCTCCCATCCACCATTAAATATTAGCATAATGAAGACCACAACAGAATATTATTTCTTTTGTCTTTCTCCTCCCACCACACCCTAACCTCCCTTCCTCAGGGGGGACTTCAGCCATACAGAAAAACAAAGATTATTGGAATAATATTAACTATTTACTGGTATTAGTATTATGGATTTATATGTGTAATATAAAATCAAATTATTTACACACATAAATCGCTGTTTCTAAACTTGCAATTAATTGATACTGCTTATGCTGCAAGGGAAATACCCAACCAGAGAAATGGGGAAAAAAGAGATAAAGATTGGCACAAACTACCCACGCAGCATTATTAAAAAAAAATAATTCAGAGCCAAAAGTAAGAACTTTTTACAGAGCGTCACAGCATATAAATGCTTACGAAACCAGACTAGGGCTTCAATTCAACCTTTTCCATAAAACAGCAAAGCAGAAAATAGATTCAGTCCAGACATAAAGACGCAAATAAATAAGAAATAAACTCGTGCGCAGAGCTAAAAATAAAAAAAATAATGGTCCCCCAAAAACTGCATCCAGCGGGACATCAAGGTCTGGGAAAATCACAACAACTTTCAATAATAATAATAAAACGACGAAATTTAATTACCGACTACTCGACTGTTTGGAAGATGTTCTAAACAGGCAGCACTGTCTTGTGAGCGAAATCAAGAGACACTCAAAATCTACTTCCCCAATCCCCCCTCCATATGGACCGTATTTATATATTTCCGTATATCTACGGTTCAAAAATAGCGAACGAATCTGTGAAATGTTGCGTACTTGGAACCCTCGGGATGGGTTAAACACTCGGAACTGGAGAATGAAGATGGAAAATGGAAAATTTGGGGATTTTAACAAACATGTCTCGTTCATGGGCCGGGTCTTATAGCTTTGGGCTAACCTTCCTCATGGACCTGTCCATTGAGCATCGACCTGGCTATTGTAGCATAAGACTGGTGTCACTGATGCAGCGTATCAGCCCTCTCGTTAATTCGTTAGCATATTTGGATATTTGGGGCTTAGCCCCTGTTTGATGCCCATTACTTGAAAATGAAAATGGAGGGAGTAGTATTTTTTAAAAAAATAAGTGGTTGAAAAAGTAGGAAAAGTTTTCGATTTACGTATAATATTATTTTATGGAAGATTGTATGGTTGAACATAGGAAAGAGAAAAATGTAATGTAATGTAATTTAATTTAATGGGGATCAAACAGAAGTGTGAATTCCAAGATAAAATGTGTTCCATTTAGTAAGGGTCAAGCTTATATTTTGGTAGCAATTAGGGTTGGGCAAATCTCCCGAATCGAACCGACCGAACCGAACCCGACGGTTCTTGTCAAATTAAATACTCGAACGAGTATCTGAATTGAGAACCCACGGGTACGGTTCGATTCTCGATTCTAGACCAAGAACCGAAAAATCGAATAAGAACCGAATCTTTCTAATTTTTTTTATATTAAGTAAATCAAATTATTTTAATTTTAATTTTTTCTAAACAAATTAACAAATTAATTATTTCTAAATCCAAATTTTTGGCCCAATAATTTGTTTCATTTCTAATTTTTTTAATTTTTGGCCCAATTACCTATTTTATTGTTTCATTTCTTAGCCAAACAATATTAAATCCACTAAATAACCTTAAACACCTACTCTAAAGTGCATAACGTTGTCTCAACTCACTCTCGCAGCCTCGAGAATATTCCAAAACCTATACAACCGTCAGCCGACACTGTGACCTCCGCCGATCGAAACTTTGATTGTAGCGATCATTTGAACAAGGTAGTTTACAAGTCTCTGACATTCCAAAATCATTAAAAGTATCATTAATTGTATTTATATAATGTTGTTATAAATGTTAAAAAATTTAATTATAATACAGAATCAAACCGAATCGAATCGAATTGAACCGAACCCGAACGGTTCCATAATTATATATGGACCTGACGATTCCATTTACTAGATACCCGAAAATTTTGGTTCAGTGTGGTTCTCTTTAAAATCGAACTGACCCGCGTCCACCCCTAATAGCAATTCAGGAACTTAAAGGCTAAGCCAATGCATGTAAATATTCCAACTAATGCTTCGAGTGTTTTTCGATGCATCCTATGGATTGTTGTCAAAATATAAGTTCTTGTATTCCAACAAATGCTTTAGAACCTATAGTCTTTGAAAATATACGAGGATTTAACAGTGAAAGCATGCCTTTATATCACAGTCTGCAAATCAAGTTTCCAATTGCTATTGAAGTTGCAGATAGTAAACTACTACCACACTGGCAACATGACTGATCCACAAAAAAATAGTAGCACAACACAAGACCAAGCCTACCAGACTTGAAATTTTGAAAAAATTTACACAACATGAAGAAAGGGAACCATAGTTCAGATATCATTAACAAGGGCAAAATTTTCTGCATTTCATTCATCTTCGAATCAAAACTTATAAATATTACAAGAATGTAATGACACTGCAGCCTATAGAAACCTAGACTAGAGATGTAAACAATCAGTTGACACTTGACACTGAAATATTGTTTCAAGAATACACTGTCTTCCCCTGTGGAACTTAGAATTATGAAGCCTGACGAAGCATCTGTTGGAGCTGAATAACTTCTTGTTGCCGTTCTGGTGGGAGGGAACTTAACTGCTCTGGTGTTAGACTCAACACTTGCTGAAGTAAAGCAGATTCCATCTCAGAAGGAACCTGCATCTGTAAAAGAAACAAAAGACAACAATGTATCAATAGAGTACAGTATAATGTTGGGTCAACCATGAAATCTACTTTGTTGTCAGTCACGAAGAAAAGATCCCAACACGAAAGGTATAATCAGTGTCTCCACTAGTTGGAGGAATCGTTCTGCTTTAAATTCCTTTGGAGCGAAATACTAATTTGTAAAAGCAAGTACTAGGACAGGCACACAGTTATTTATAATGTGATCAATATCTTATAAACCATCTAGGGATAGTTATATACCATAGCCAGTACTCTTTTTCATTAGATTTACACACACATAACATAAAGTAATTAGGACACAGAATTGAATTTTTATCAGACAAATAAAATTACCTAGACATTTGACAGTAATCCTCATACCGAGGAAAAGAATGTCAGCAACTAGTAAATATTAATTATACAAAATCAATTGAAATCCCAAGTCCACTGGATCAGGGTTTGTCTCAAACAAATGTGTAAACATCAGATCTTTGCAACCATCACAGAAAGACACTGAGAACGAAGAGCAAAGGCGTTGACAAAAAAATACTGCTAACGAGAGAATAACAACCTCAGCATCCTGCTTCTGGGAGTTGGAATTTCCTTCTGATCTGGGATCTTGTTTTCTAGAATTGTCAAAAATTGGGGTTGCTCCATGTACAGGTGTAGCCAACTTCGATGAATGGTTCGTTTGGTCTATCCTATTCCCTATCAAATCCATATTGTCCCACATGCCAGATAATACTGAGGAGTTTGGCTGCTAATAGAAAAGAACACAAAAGTCATTTGCATGTTGATTCACATACGTAATACAATACTAAAATCATATTAGAAAAGAAAAACTATTGACATGAGAGAATATATTCTTCTGTTTGATTAGGGTTCTTTGAACTGTTAACCCCAAATACAATTGAACATAATGTTTCCTTGTGAAACTAGTTTTCCCCCTCCTATTGTACTTTATTGTGTAATGAAGATAATATATTGACGAGCATCTAATGTTCGCTGTACAAATTAATGTGCCACAACAGCTACAATGTGCAGAAAATGTCCTATAATGTTGCTGCAACTTTACAAGGCACGGGAATTGTTGCAAATATGTCCAATGAGTCGAACCATCTGACAACAGGAAAACTTGCCAGCAAAATTGGGACAAACTTCCATTTGAATTTACCCAATGAAAACATGCATATGTTAGGTGTCTTACTTAAGTCCATTTTCTATAAATTACACTCCTCTAAGGACATCACATAGTTCCCATGCTTGAAACTGCAGCATAGAAGAGAATGTCATTACTCTGCCACCCTCACATTTTTCTAATGGTAAATGCATGGACACAATTAAACCATATAAAAATTATGGTCACTTTAACTCTAGAATTCAGTTTTTTGTTTTCGTAGGTCTTACTTGTGCATTAAATGAGAGCATAAAAGCTTGCCAATGAAGGCAAGACCATTTTGCTCAATGTTGAAATTTCAAAACCTCAACCGAACTCCAATATATCATTTGAATTGGGATTCATGCCCTATATTAGTATAAAAACAACAGTAAGTATCAACAAACTGCAAAAATAGATGTGTATAAATACTAATTCATGCCAGAAACACTATTATAGGATATTAGTTCTAATTCCTAAACTTAAAGCCAGTAAAATTGTAAATATTAAAAAAGAATCCAATCTCACTTTGGTTAAATATAAAACTACCCACTCTTTAATCTACTCACATCTAAATAAAATTTAACCAAGATTTGAACTCTATGAACTTGAAAGTTAGACATGCAAGTACAATCATGTTATGGATGGATCAACAAAGCTAAAGTAGCTTTCACTTGATAGCTCTGAAAATTTCTATAAATTGGGTATTTCCTCAAGTATGCGATACTTGAGATTCAACCATTTTAAAATGAATTCAAGTAATCCTTTGGAGCGACAGATTTATGCACTGACATTTGAACTCTTTGTAAAAGGCAGCTCAAGAAAAGTTTGGCACATGGAACCCTTGAGCTGGGAATTGAAAAGGCGTCTGTGAGGAAGGTTTAATGGTTGCATTTGGAGTGATCATCTGCCCAGTATACCTGAGCTAGTAGATGGAATCGAACCTTGATGTTGTAACATAGGAGTTTGCACACTCTGGATCAAGGCAGAGGAAGTTGCTGGCTGAATATGTGGTTTAACTGACAAATTTCCCATTTCCTGTGGACTCACAGAGGGAAATCCAGCACTTCCAGACTGTTTGGGGAGTTGGTGATGAGGACATCATTATAGTTTGACTTTTATTATTATTTCAGTATTTTAGTTGGACTTTTATTATTGTTTCAGTTGGACTTTCATTTAAGTTTACGTATTTTAGTTAGGACTTAAATAATGGGTTTGGCCCTATATTTTTAGGTTTTTATTATTTAAACCTATCTTGGTTTGTAATTTTGGGATGATGAATTGATTGAGAATTATAAAGTTGGCTTGTGGCCGTTTTCTCTCCTCTTCCCCGCCTCTGTCCTTCTTCCTCTCTTTCCCTCCCCATCTCTTCTTATTATAACTATTGAATCATTCATTCTGCATCAAATTGGTATCAGAGCTAACTTGGAAAAACAGTTAGGTGTTCACTACGTGGTTCAAATCAGTTCGGCAGACTCCAGTTAACATCCTCACCGTCTCTACATATATTCCCGGTCCACTGCAACTCAACGTCCACTGCAAACTTCACAACCGCCATATAGTACACCTGTTTATCCAACTCGTCCACAGCAACTATAACCTGCAACAAACCTCCCACATCATATTCTCCACACTTCAAACCGGCTATTGCAAAATTCAAAATCGCTTCCTGCCCGTAGCTGCTGAATATCAACTGTACCACGACACCTATATAAACTGCTACAAACAGTAACCACCCCACACACAATCTACTAAGCCACCACTGCTACCATTTATCACCAGAAACTACCAGCAAAGGCAGCACCCTACTGCGGTCACCTCATCGACGGCACTGCTTGCTTCATGCTTCACCCCTGTCGACGAGACAATGAACCCCAGAAAAACTACGCTATCGGTGAAAAAGGAACATTTCTTGACATTAGCATACAGGTTAGTCTCGCGAAGTGTAGAGCAAACTTGTTTGAGGTGGTCACGGTGTTGCTCCTTAGTTTTACTATAGATGAGGATATCATCAAAGTAGACAACGAGAAATTTACCCATGAACGGCCGAAGAGTTTGTGTCATTACCCGCATGAAGGTACTCGGCGCATTACTTAGCCCAAAAGGCATGACCAGCCATTCATAAAGGCCATCTTTCGTCTTAAACGCGGTCTTCCTCTCTTCCCCTCCCCATCTCTTCTTATTATAACTATTGAATCATTCAAATTTGGTAGGCTATAGAAAATTTTAATTTGGTACCTATCTTATGCCACAAAGTCCTCCAAAAATGGCTAGTGAAGCGAACGTCCCTATCGGACACGATGGTCTTGGGAAGTCCATACAGTTTGACAATCTCATTAAAGAATAACATGGCAACCTCGGATGCATCCGATGTTTTGCTACAGGGGATAAAGTGAGTCATTTTCGAGAAACGATCGACAACCACGAAAATAGAATCATGCTTCTTTGGGGTGCGTGGCAGTCCTAGCACAAAATCCATACTAACGTCTTGCCAAGGACAATTGGGGACGGGGAGAGGAGTGTATAGGCCTGTGTTCTGCTTCTTCTGTTTGGCCAATTGACAAGTGTTACATGTACTAACAATTTTAGCCACATCTCTCTTTAAACTAGGCCAATAGAATTGGCGTTCAACCTCCTCAATGGTCTTATCACGCCCAAAGTGACCGGCTAACCCTCCCGCGTGAACTTCCCACAGTATAAAATCTCGCACTGAAGTTCGAGGGATGCACAATTTATTGGCTCGAAAGAGATAACCCTCCTCGAGTCGAAAGCCATCTGTGCGATGTGATTGTCCTCCTTGCAAATCGAGAAAGATATCCTTAAAATCTGGGCATGCCTCGTAATCCTCCTTAAGCCTTTCAAAATCAATGACTTTGACACTCATGATCGACAAAAGGGAGACACGACGACTTAACGCGTCAGCTGCTTGGTTCTCCACACCCTTCTTGTGTTTTAAAACAAATGAATAGGCCTGCAAATATTCAACCCAACGTCCATGCCTAGAACTTAATCTCTTCTGAGAGTTGAGGTAACGGAGGGCTTCGTGGTCCGAATAAAGGACAAATTCCTGGGGCAACAAGTAGTGGCGCCAATAGCGCAAAGCCTGGACCACCGCATACAGTTCCTTATCATACGTTGAATATCGTCGTTTGGCCTCATTTAACTTTTCACTGAAATAGGCGACAGGGTGACGATCCTGACTTAAGACTCCTGACATCATGAATGGCCTTAGGCTCAGGCCAGTCAATTATCGCCTGAATCTTAGTAGGGTCAGCAGACACCCCGGTCGACGAGACAATGAACCCCAAAAAAACTACGCTATCGGTGAAAAAGGAACATTTCTTGACATTAGCATACGGGTTAGTCTCGCGAAGGGTAGAGCAAACTTGTTTGAGGTGGTCACGGTGTTGCTCCTTAGTTTTACTATAGATGAGGATATCATCAAAGTAGACAACAAGAAATTTACCCATGAACGGCCGAAGAGTTTGTGTCATTACCCGCATGAAGGTACTCGGCGCATTACTTAGCCCAAAAGGCATGACCAGCCATTCATAAAGGCCATCTTTCGTCTTAAACGCGGTCTTCCACTCATCCCCTGGGCGAATTCTAATTTGATGGTACCCACTCTTTAGATCGATCTTTGAAAAGATTGTCGCGCCAACCATCATATCCAGCATATCATCAAACCTGGGAATGGGAAAACGATACTTCACCGTGATCCTATTGATAGCGCGACTATCCACACACATTCTCCAAGATCCATCCTTTTTGGGCGTCAATAGGGCGGGGACAGCACATGGACTTAAACTCTCACGAATGAATCCTTTGTTGAGAAGGTCATCCACTTGCCTTTGGAGCTCAGCGTGCTCGGTAGGATTCATCCCATAATGTGGCAAATTTGGAAGGGATGCGCCGGGGACGAAATCTATGGCATGTTGAATATCTCTTAGCGGGGGTAGATGATCAGGTAGGTCCTCCGGAAAGACATCTCGAAACTCCTGAAGGATCAATTGGGCTTCCGCAGTGTCCTCACTTGTGGAGTTAGATGAAACCTCCATGACTACTAAGGCGAACACAATTGAGTCACCAACAATTGTACGCTCAAACTCTGTAGGACTAATGATATGCAACCCCTTTTGTTCCACGCTTTTCTTCGCTTCTAGTGAACCAGCCGGCTTTGGGGGTAGTGGGTTAAGGTGAATCTTCTTTCCATTAAACACGAAGGAGCAGGAATTGGATCGACCATATATGGTTACATCTAGGTCAAATAGCTAAGGTCGTCCTAAGATGATGTGCCCGACGTCCATCGAAATAACGTCACACCATATATGGTCCTTATACTCCAAGAACTGGATAGGGACTAAACAACGCTCCTTAACAGCTATAGAGGAGGTGTTAACCCAAGAGACACTATAAGGTTGGGGGTGAGGAACTGGCTTCAACCCTAGAAGGGATATAGTAGCCTTCGAAACCGCATTAATACAGCTGCCACTATCCATGATAACTTTACAGCCCTTGTTATTACTCTTGATGTAGGTGTGGAAGATGGCATGACGGCGCCAATCGTCGGCATCCTTAGGCTGGGTGAGGGTGCAACGGACGACACCGACTCTGGGTGTATGTGGGATAATGGGACTAGCCTGAATACAACCCAAGAAGGTATCCTCACTGTCCTCCAAGTCTTCAAACTCTTCTAACTTAGGCTCATAAACCTGATCCTCTAGTGGTTCGACGACTATATCCTCACGTTCGTCCAGAACTAGGGCTCGGCTAGGGTACTTAGAAGCAATGTGACCAAAACCCTTACAGTTGAAGCATTGCAAACGGGAGGATGTCCTTGAAACCTTAGAACCTCTACCTTTGCTATCCGATGCAGGGGTAGTATTAGAGGGAGGAGGACCTAGAATAGACTTAGGGGATGGCGTGGATGCAGATGAGGTTGTAGTGCGACAGTCACTACGATTTCTATACGGTGTCCTAGTCACTAATTCATAATCCCGAACAAAAGAGTAGACGTGGTCGAGAGTGGTGACACCCCTAAGGACAAGCTCGCGCCTAAATTCGTCTCTTAAACCTTGCCTAAACCTACTCAAAGTCATAACTTCATCCTCAACAACCTAACATTTCATTCGAAACTCATCAAACTGAGCAACATATTCGGTCACAGGTCGATTGCCTTGTGTAAGTGCGTTCCATTGATCCAGCAAGTTACCCCTATAAGATTGGGGTAAATATTTTTCTTGAAGGCGGCGCTTCATTTCATCCCAGCTCCCAACAGGGGGAGCATGACGCCTTTCAAGGAGGTCCTCAACACTCTCCCAAAAGAGTTGAGCAGTGCCAGTTAACTTCAAACTGGCAAATTGTACCCTCCGATCTTCCGGGACCCCATACCATGCAAAGAAGCGATCCATATCTCTAACCCATTGATTGAATGCACTAGGATCTAGACAACCGTCAAACGTAGGGGCATCCAATTTAATGTTTCGAAAGAGGCGCTCCTCGCGGCGAGGGGGAGATTGTGTACCATGACGGTAATACCCCCGCTCTCGTTCCCGAGCCTGATTCCCTTCCCTACGACCATGTCGGGCGTGGTGTCGACCACCTTGTGGGCGACGATGAGGCCTATTAATGGAAGCCTCAGAGTTCTCAGCCTCGGTCGAATATGGGATTGGGTCAAGAGTATTCAACCTAGCGGTTAGGGCTCTATTCTCTTCACGAGTAGCGGCTACCTCAGTTTGGACAGCTGTTAGTTGATTTTGTAATTGTGCAAGCTATCTGGTGAGGGCCTCAATTTGGGCGGGGTCCTTGGTAAGGTTACTAGAGCTAGAGGCAGGAACGCGACCACTACGCAATTGCATACACGGTAACACGACTACGTAAAGTGCACTACTGAGATCAATAATCAACAATCAACTAGTGCCAACCGAAGAATTAGTTATTGAAATTATTATTATGATTATTTATTTATTTATTTATTTATTTATTTTTGGTTATTTTGTCAATTTAAAGTTTGGGGTTACTTATGGCTCGATCGCAAGCTAATACTACTAATGCTAATAAAATAGAAAAGCAAATGTCCAAATACTAGGTCTAGTCACGTGGAGTAAACGATTGAGTAATGGAATTTAGTTCGTGAAATATAATCGAATAGGTTTAAGGCAGTATTATCAAAGGGCTAGTACACATCAATGGATTTTAGTTCGTGAAATACAATCAAATAGGTTGAAGGCAATATTATCAAATGGCCAGCACACAACAAATTAATTGATGCAATTCTAAAATAAAGAAATAGCGTCAACTAAAAATAAATAGGATCAGGAACTCCCTGAGTACTGTTGTTTTGAGTCGTCCCAGCGTCGAATGTCTCCACGTTCTGAACTACTAAGCCCTGATGCCAAGATAGAAAATTTCGTGCTCGTCGAGGTGCGGTACTGAACAGTCAACTAAAATGAACCTGTAAATGATGTCAGAAAATTTAAAATTCACGATACAATTTTTTTTTTTTTTGCTCTTTTCTTTTCTTTTCTTTTTTCTCTTTTTTTTTTGTATTTTTTCTCTTTTTTTTTTTGTAGGGTGGCAAAGGCCTTTAAGTTAGTCAAGGAGCGAATGACAGAAGCTCATGCGTCTTCCCGATTTTTTCAAAGTCTTTGAAGTTGAATGTGACGCTTCTGGGGTAGGTATAGGCGGAGTCTTAAGTCAGGATCGTCACCCTGTCGCCTATTTCAGTGAAAAGTTAAATGAGGCCAAACGACGATATTCAACGTATGATAAGGAACTGTATGCGGTGGTCCAAGCTTTGCGCTATTGGCGCCACTACTTGTTGCCCCAGGAATTTGTCCTTTATTCGGACCACGAAGCCCTCCGTTACCTCAACTCTCAGAAGAGATTAAGTTCTAGGCATGGACGTTGGGTTGAATATTTGCAGGCCTATTCATTTGTTTTAAAACACAAGAAGGGTGTGGAGAACCAAGCAGCTGACGCGTTAAGTCGTCGTGTCTCCCTTTTGTCGATCATGAGTGTCAAAGTCATTGGTTTTGAAAGGCTTAAGGAGGATTACGAGGCATGCCCAGATTTTAAGGATATCTTTCTCGATTTGCAAGGAGGACAATCACATCGCACAGATGGCTTTCGACTCGAGGAGGGTTATCTCTTTCGAGCCAATAAATTGTGCATCCCTCGAACTTCAGTACGAGATTTTATAGTGTGGGAAGTGCACGCGGGAGGGTTAGCCGGTCACTTTGGGCGTGATAAGACCATTGAGGAGGTTGAACGCCAATTCTATTGGCCTAGTTTAAAGAGAGATGTGGCTAAAATTGTTAGTACATGTAACACTTGTCAATTGGCCAAACA